CAGCTATCCCATGCCATGCAAGTGCATTGGGATTATTCTCCCTTTTGAAGAATAGTACGCAGATTTGGGCTGGCGTGACATTTATTTTAGATCGAGTTTTGATGAACAAGAAGAGAATGTGTTTCGGGTCGCAGAATGTGACCAATCACAGCGGACCACTGGCCCCCACTTTCACGTGAGAAATCTACAGGTCAGTTAGCACAGAAGGCTGAGTTAGCACGGCAAAGAAAACAAACAAGTGGCGGAGCTAACTGAAGCTTCCTCGCTTCGTCCACGGTTACTGCATACACAGCGAGACAAGCCATCCAAATGAAAGTCTCCGTTCCTACCGCGCCATTCCACGGTTCTAATCGTCTATGGTCAAAACGCCATCCACGTGCAATCCATGTCCATCGTATTTATCATATTGGGAGACGCTAGGCGTCCGGTCCCAACAGTGGGATGTGTGTGGTGGGGGTTCGATAGCTTCGTGGGTGCGGGGAGGGAGCATAAAGAGAGAGGCCAGCGAGTCTGCGCTTCAAAATCCCAAAGTCATAGTGCAGCTTTAAAAAGCCATAACCCTTAACCATCTCACTCAGACCACACCTTTATCCCTAACCTAACCATCTTACTCAGACCACCTTAACCCAGAACTTAACCATCTAACTCAGACCACCTTAACCCTAACTTAACCATCTTACTCAACCCACCCTTAACCCTAACCCTAACCATCTAAACCTCAGACCTGCCTTAAACCTAACCCTATCTATCTTACTCAGACCCCCTTAAACCTAACCTTAACATCTTACTTACAATACAAGACAATTTATATTCTTGTAATAGCCCTAGGTCACAACAGAAGTCCATATCAGAACTTAACAAAAACCATTGAAATCACCAACCACAAGTCATCAATCAACAGCTAAAACACATGAACCCTAACCTTCTTACTCAGACTACCTTAACCATCTTACTCAGCACCACCTTAACCTTAACTCAATCTTAACCATCTTACTCAGAAAAACAGACAAGCTCTTTTATGTCTTGACTTACAATGTGACACCAATATTATGTCTTTGTGTGTTATAATGTTTGGGATCATGGCATACAGTCTATTTTCTGAGATATGTTGTTTTTTTCATTGGTTTCATGTAATATTCTAATATTCCTTGTTTCGCCTTTAGATACTGTCACATTGAGTCCATTATTACTGGTTAGTTTTGTGCTATAATTATTCATTTGCAAAAGAAGAGACAGAAGGTTTAGATGGTCTCCATGGCCTCGCTCTAAAGTACACGGCGGCACGGTGGCTGAGTGGTTAGCACTCTCGCCTCTCAGCAAGAAGGTCCTGGGTTCGAATCCCGGTCGGACCAGGGCCTTTCTGAGTGGAGTTTGCATGTTCTCCCCGTGTCTGCGTAGGTTTCCTCCGGGTACTCCGGTTTCCCCTACCACTAAAAATATGTACAATAGGTCTGGCATGCGCCTCCTGTACTGGCGACCCCGCTCCCATCTCTGTGTGGAGTGAGAGGACAAGTGCCCAAAAATAACAATTGTAAACCGCTTTGAGACTCCGATGTGATGTGGTATATAAATAAATACTACTACAACTACTCTGAGGAGCACAGGGACTGGCCTCCTGCTGGGACTCTGAGGAGCACAGGGACAGGCCTCCTGCTGGGACTCCAAGGAGCACAGGGACTGGCCTCCTGCTGGCAATAATGTACCTTTTATCAAATTCATTCTTTTTTCAGTTCTGTGTTATTGATTATTCTCATTTTCCCCTCATGACATCAAAAAGTCCTGTTCAGAAGCCTTTTACATCCTCATAATAATACTTTATATCGATAGGCCTCTTAATATGAATCGCCATCAGACAAAACCAGCTTTGTGTCGTGTGTGTGTCGTGTGTGTGTGTGTGTGTGTGTGTGTGTGTGTGTGTGTGTGTGTGTATGTGTGCGTGTGTGTGTGTGTAACCTGCATGAAAAATACATTCCCGTTCCACCTCCAAAACCCACAAAGGCGGCCCACTGCGCTAAGTCCCGGCATTAACAGCATAAATGGGACAATGACACAGAAAAATGCCAAACAAAAGCTGCCATGTGGAGCGGCTCATTCCTCCGTGGCTCCGGGAACATGTGACCGGCTGGAATCTCCCTCTGCGTAAACAGGCCAACGAGTTTAACAGTACAGGCCTCTGCTGTCCCAGTATTGTCACGTTTACGAACACAAACGGATCAAAAGATGACTCGTTTTAACTTGCTTACAATAAAGGTTTATCTTACTATGGTCAGTGAGGATTCAAGCACAAACACAGCAAAGAAGTGATGGAAAATAAGTCAACAAATTACTGAAATTTGGCAATGGGACGAACAAAAATAATGGTGTTTTAAAAAATACATTTACAGTACATTTCTCCCTTGGAAAAAGAACAAAGATGCAATTGTTTTTGAAATAAGACTAATTGGCTTTGTCCCATTGGCAACATTTGTTTTAAGTCAAAAACCAGTTCATTTAAACAATTTTTTCATCATATTTTATCACTTTTTGCAGTGAACCTGTGTTGATTAAGGGGTTAAGAGAAATTTACCAACACAAACAGATCAAAACAATGACTTAAATGCTGTTCTTCTACGGCCAGTGAGGATTCCAACTTAATTCCATTGAAACTAATGAGACAGTCCCTCAGATGTAGCACAGCGAAACAGAACTGTTTTTAACCTGGTTTTAAACAATGTCAGAGAAGAAGCCTGTCTCACATGTTCAGGAAGACTGTTCAGATTCTTAGCTGCATAAATCTGAAAGTCTGCCTCCCCATGTTTAGTCCTGAGCACAGGGACCAGCAGGAGGCCGGTCCCTGTGCTCCTCAGAGTCCCAGCAGGAGGCCAGTCCCTGTGCTCCTCAGAGTCCCATCAGGAGGCCAGTCCCTGTGCTCCTCAGAGTCCCAGCAGGAGGCCGGTCCCTGTGCTCCTCAGAGTCCCAGCAGGAGGCCGGTCCCTGTGCTCCTCAGAGTCCCAGCAGGAGGCCAGTCCCTGTGCTCCTCAGAGTCCCAGCAGGAGGCCAGTCCAAAGATGTAACAGAGGCTAAACATACTGTACATGGATTTTATTCCATAGTTCATTTTTGTTGTAGTTTCAAAGTTAGATGAAGCTTGAATGAAAATTATAATATTTTGAAATATTCGTGATCTTTTGTGATTTGATAATGACAGACTGTGCTCCTGTCTGATTGGACCCAGAACATTGAATAAATCCATATTTGAACCCGACAATAACATGTTTGCACAATATTAAGCCTCATAACATTCACACGTTATCTACATGTGGTTAAAAACAAATGTTTTATACAAAAAAGGTGAGAAGTAAACACATAGAAGCGTTCTCCTCAGCCATGTGCACTACGGCCAGATCGGCTGCTTCACATCTACAGCAACAAGATCAGGGGTGTCCAAACCTGTCGCACAACTCAATTCAATTACATTTATGTTTGAATCGCGCAGCAGTCGCCTCGGAGGACAGTTATAAACTCACTCACGACATTGGTCCATCAGGAGTGGGATGCTCAATGTCCATAAATGGTTCTAAATGTGCATAAAAGTATCATCACTGCCCTTTGACCCTTGTGCATCAGCAAGGAACATGTGAGAAACCAGGACTGAGGCTGTAGATCCAGGACTGAGGCCGTAGATCCAGGACTGAGGCTGTAGATCCAGGACTGAGGCTGTAGATCCAGGACTGAGGCTGTAGATCCAGGACTGAGGCCGTAGATCCAGGACTGAGGCTGTAGATCCAGGACTGAGGCTGTAGATCCAGGACTGAGGCTGTAGATCCAGGACTGAGGCCGTAGATCCAGGACTGAGGCTGTAGATCCAGGACTGAGGCTGTAGATCCAGGACTGAGGCCGTAGATCCAGGACTGAGGCTGTAGATCCAGGACTGAGGCTGTAGATCCAGGACTGAGGCTGTAGATCCAGGACTGAGGCTGTAGATCCAGGACTGAGGCCGTAGATCCAGGACTGAGACTGTAGATCCAGGACTGAGGCTGTAGATCCAGGACTGAGGCTGTAGATCCAGGACTGAGGCTGTAGATCCAGGACTGAGGCTTTAAGATCCAGGACTGAGGCTGTAGATCCAGGACTGAGGCTGTAGATCCAGGACTGAGGCTGTAGATCCAGGACCTGAGGACGTAGATCCAGACTGAGGCTGTAGATCCAGGACTGAGGCTGTAGATCCAGGACTGAGGCGTAGATCCAGACTGAGGCTGTAGATCCAGGACTGAGGCTGTAGATCCAGGACTGAGGCTGTAGATCCAGGACTGAGGCCGTAGATCCAGGACTGAGGCTGTAGATCCAGGACTGAGGCTGTAGATCCAGGGACTGAGGCTGTAGATGTAGATCCAGGACAGGCTGTAGATCCAGACTGAGGCTGTAGATCCAGGACTGAGGCTGTAGATCCAGGACTGAGGCTTTAGATCCAGGACTGAGGCTGTAGATCTAGGACTGAGGCTGTAGATCCAGGACTAAGGCTGTAGATCCAGGACTGAGGCTGTAGATCCAGGACTGAGGCTGTAGATCCAGGACTGAGGCTGTAGATCCAGGACTGAGGCTTTAGATCCAGGACTGAGGCTGTAGATCCAGGACTGAGGCTGTAGATCCAGGACTGAGGCTGTAGATCCAGGACTGAGGCTGTAGACCCAGGACTGAGGCTGTAGACCCAGGACTGAGGCTGTAGATCTAGGACTGAGGCTGCAGATCCAGGACTGAGGCTGCAGATCCAGGACTGAGGCTGCAGATCCAGGACTGAGGCTGTAGATCCAGGACTGAGGCTGTAGATCCAGGACTGAGGCTGTAGATCCTCTGACAAAGTCGACCAGCCAGAGTTAACGCTGCAAAAGGACTCACCAAACAAAAATATACTTTTGCTTTGACAACACCACAATATCAACACCAGGATCACAGAAAGCACTAAACCACAGATTTTTTTTCAAGCCCAAAATAGTGAGTGTGACACCAACAGTTACTGAGTCAGGAGTAATTTACTTTCACATGTAAGTCAGCGCAGGAGCCAGAGCGAGCTGGAGCCAAACTTCATTCACGAGCACTTCTCAGAGCTAGCGGGTTAGCATCGTCCACCTGTTTACAGTCTCTCAACTTCTGAATGGATTGGAGTCGAGCGCGAGGGACAGAGCGGCAGCAGAATGAGGCTAAGCACTCATCAAAGGGCTCTTGTTTTATCACAGGGAGAGGAATGTCCATGTGAGCTGAACGTGCTGCTGCTGCTGCTGCTGCTGCTGCTGCTGCTGCTGCCCTACTGACCCAGAAACAAGCTGCAAAGTATGTGGAGAAATGAGTCAAGCCAAACAAAGCCGTTCAGAAATACAGTCGGATGAAATGACAATGCACACCGTATACAGTACCGTGTATAAGATCTGCTTCGTGGACCAGCCCCAGATTTGGATCCAGGATGTAAACTGCACAAAAATGATAAAGTATGAGGTAATGATGGCTTGAATGGAGTAGTTTTAATCTCAATTTGAGTTCATTCTGTCTGTCCTTAAAGAAGATTCTCCAATGGGACAAAGCCATTTAGTCTTATTTCATGAACTGTTACTTTATGTTCTCATTCCAAGGGAGTTATTTCTTGTATCTTTTATGAGCAAGAATATTGTACTTTGTCCCATCGGGGAATCTGGTTTTAAGGCTGAGTCAGAATTTATTCAAATTTAGATACGTTTTGCCAAATTTGACTTTGTTTTTCGTCCCTTTTTGTAGAGTGGGTGAGGTCTTCTGGACTTCCCTGATATTCCCAAAATAGTTCTGTTGCAAAAACAGATACATTGCATCAGACAAAAAACTGAAAGACCCTCATTTAGAGCCAAACAAATACAGTTTCACTCCTTTTTGAGCACATTCTGGAACTATTTATGAACATCGTAAAGCACTTTTGGTGACCTTTTGTTGACCTTGGCTAAATAGATACGGATTACTTGCTTAATTATTTAAATCACTATTGAGGAATACGCCTTTTTGGAAATTATATTGTACATGAGAGATGTGGTGGGATCTGTATTTATATAGTCCTGGGTCTACAGCAGCCTCAGACCTGGATCTACAGCCTCAGTCCTGGGTCTACAGCAGCCTGAGACCTGGATCTGCAACCTCAGTCCTGGATCTACAGCCTCAGTCCTGGGTCTACAGCCTCAGACCTGGATCTACAGCCTCAGTCCTGGATATACAGCCTGAGACCTGGATCTGCAACCTCAGATTTTCCAATGGGATAGAGAAAAATTATCTTGTCTTAAAAAGATACAAGATACAATGTCTCCCTTGGAAGAAGAAAAATAAAGTAACAGTTCTTGAAAATCTTGTTTTAACAGAGTCAGAATGTGCTCAAATTAAGATAAAAACCACGTGATTAAAGCAATTATTACCATTTTTAGCAGTGTACCGAGCCACCTGCTGTTGTGATTTAGTGCTTCACGCATATAAAATGAATTGAATTGAGTTAGATTGATTGCCGTGTGTCTAATTTGGCCTAAAGTAAAATGTCTAAAGTGTGTTGCGTGAGCGTGTGTGTCTCTGGAGCAGTGGCCTGGACTCGAGCGTTACAAAACAACAACAGTTTGATGACGCTCGTGTTGTGTCTGAAGAAGCAACTTTTCTGCCAATTCAGCAATTACCCAGAAGCCTCCTCTGTGCGGGACAACTGGGGCATCGAGTGTCCGCGGTGTCAGTGGGTCAGACCTGCCCCCTCCTGACGCCGGGTTCACACCATGAGCTCATTCAGTCGAGAAACAGACTTTACTGACAGAGAGAAAGATCAGGTTTTTTAACACAGGTCTTTCCTTCCTGCTGCTGTCAGACTGTACAATGAACACTGCCAACCTGACCTCACACGTTGTGCATCTGTGCAATAATTTTGAATAATTTCAGAAAGTGCAATATCTAACCACAAGTGTCACTGTCACTTTACTGAGTCACTTAGAAGGTTCTGGGTTTGACTCCACCTCCAGGCCTGTCTGTGTGGAGTTTGCATGCTCTCCCTGTGTCTGTGTAGGTTTCCAGCGGGTGCTCCGGTTTAATAAATACAATATGTATGAACGTAATTGTGTGGAGTGAATGGGAAAAAAAAATGAATCTGTACTCCAAAAACATTGTAAAGATTTCTGGATGTTAGTGGAAAAAAAGTGAAAAATTGCTCTAATTTGGCAAAATGTAGGTTTTTGACTGAGGCTTAAAACAAGATTCTCCAACGGGACAAAGCAAAATGACCTTGTTTTAAAAAGGTACAACAAATGTCTCCCTTGGAATGAGAAAATAAAGCAACAGTTCTTGAAATAAGACTGAACGGTTTGTCTCGTTGGAGAATCTTGTTTAAGGACAGCCAGAATGTTCTCAGATTAAGATAAAAAACAGTCGATTCAAGCAATTTCTACCTCGTATTTGATCATTTTTGCAGAGTCTATTTGCAGGTGATGCGTCTGTGTTACCTCAGTTTGAGAAGCACTGGTCTGAATCATGTTCTCAATGAAACTCGATTTTGTTTTTGCAATTTAGACAAATATTTGAAGGTTGAGTGTGTCCGGTCCTCCCACCTGCACCTGTTATCAGCAGATAACTGAGAGATGAATGAGTGACGTGTTTGTACCTGTGTCTTTGTACCTGTGATCAAGTGAAAACTACTTTTTTATTTTATTCTCTGTGGGATAAGACTCTCTCTCCACGGCCTCGCATCACAGTACATCCGATACATGTTTGTGACACATGAACCAACTCGAATCAAAGGAGCACAGGGACTGGCCTCCTGCTGGGACTCTGAGGAGCACAGGGACTGGCCTCCTGCTGGGACTCTGAGGAGCACAGGGACTGGCCTCCTGCTGGCTCTGAGGAGCACAGGGACTGGCCTCCTGCTGGGACTCTGAAGAGCACAGGGACTGGCCTCCTGCTGGTGCCCAGAGTCAGGACTAAACATGGCCTCCCCTGCACTTCAGATTTATAAAGCTCAAATCTGGAACCGTCTTCCTGAAAATGTGAGACAGGCTTCTTCTCTGACAATATTCAAATCTAGGTTAAGCTGCAGACAACAGAGGGATTGTATCTTTTTGTAATCTACTGTGATTATTTATGAATTGAATGGCTTGTATTGTTTCTATCTTGTTTTTTCAGCACTTCTGTATGAACTGTGCTATACAAATAAACTCGCCTTGTTTATGGGGAAAACAAAAGGAAACTGATTTAACTGAGAGTAGTAGATAGGCCGCTGGGTGCTGTGGGGAAAACTCATGGATTTTAGCACAAAGTCAGACAAGTAAAGAAGAGACAGCCACGATAGCAGAACACTTCTTGTATCTTTAACAATAAAACATGCGACATCACAATACAATAGTAAATGCATTTGCTAATATATTTACTGCAGTAGGATTAGCGATTAGACCCCGGCAGGAATACTGGACAAAGTATCCAGAAGGACTTGTCATAGAAATGATGAGCTTGCGACCCCCCAGGTACTGATACTGCACTGAAGAGGCGGTGATGGGGAGGAGGTGGGTTGCTGCACGACCAGCAGATTGGGTCTGCAGAGAACTGAGAGGCTCTGTTTGAATGCAGCCATGGAGTGATGATGAAACAACATATTGACCATGTGAAAAGAAAAATATCGAAACTAAAGACGTACCGATGATGCATATAATCTACTGTATACCTCCTCCCTTTGTGACTTACTGTGGAGCTACTTTTAATACTGTCATCAACTCTATGTTATAACAAAAACGTGCCATTTGCCTGATTAATTAAGTAGGATATTATGATCATACAAATCCATTATTTCTAAAAACAAATACTATGAAATTTAAAGACATTGTTAACTATAAAATCATGTTTATGGCTTAATCAAATGTGCTTCCAGAAGGTGTTCAAAAGTATTTTCAACTTCAAAAAACTAGACTCAGAGATGTCTGTCGTTTCACGGGCCTCAGTTGTGGAACAATCTCAGTCATTCTTTTTTTGTATTTAAGAAAAAACTGTCACAGTCGATCCTGGACGGACACCAAACTGAATGATTTTGTTGAACTTGTAATTAAAAAATGTTAATTTATTGAAATATGTTATGGTAACTTATTTTGTATTATGAACATGCAATGGGCACACAAGTTTTTTTTCTTCTGCTCTGCCTTGTTCAGTCTGTTTTTTATGTTGTTTTGTTAAGGGCTGTGTATAAACTGTGCCATACAAATAACCTGGACCTCTGCCCCGGCGACCCACACGGTCAAAAAGCTTGAAAAAGTCACAAATCTGTTCGTCAATGACTTTCCCCGCTGAACAAACTCCATCACGTTTGAGCAGCCCATCCTTTGTCTCTGCCTCCGTCTGAGGTCCTTCCATCTAATCCAATAATCCCGGTTAATCCCAGCGCAGATTAGAAGAGGTGAAAGAGCCACTTTGTGTATGGGATTACCCTGGAATCACTCTATATTCGTCACAAGTCCACCCACGGCGCCATTGTCTCCACGCACACCATGCATTCGGTACAGTGCATACGTATACGCCTGTGTGTGTGTGTGTGTGTGTGTGTGTGTGTGTGTTGGGGGGGCGGGTTAATGAACAGCTGTTTGGGATTGGGACGATCGGGGGTCCGTGGGCCTCCTCTCTGAGTCTGAGGTCACTGATCTTTAATCTCTGATGCGGTCTGATCCAAGTCACGTTTCCTTCACAGACAACCTACTGCCCCACTGGCCTCATGTGCTGCTTTACCGAGCTGCACTTACAGACTATTGCAAGTCACTCAACAAAGTGAAGAAGTAGAAGAAGAAGCAGAAGAAGAAGTAGAAGTCGTTTGAACCTAATCCCTCATGAATTAGCATAAGTATCATGGTGTGTTTTGCTCATTGTCCCTATGGCACCGTCGGAATGTGTTCAAGATAAGAAAAGAAAACCACTCAATTCAAACATTTATTGCCTCATATGTTTATCCTTTTTTCATGTCTGCTGGAGGAGTTGTGAGAACGTTCACCTAATCCTTGCGATGGAAATGCAGGTCGGACCTAATTTCCCGGACCACCTCCCTGACCACCGAGCAGCCAATCACAACACAAGTCAGGCAAGTCAGGTGACCCAAAGCGACTCTCTACAGCGTTGGCCGACTGCATATGTGTTTGTGTTTGAGCGCGGTTGTATTTTGACCATTTGTCGACCTTAGTGACCGTTTTGGGGCCTTTTTCCCCTGGTTTGACTAAAAATAAAAGTTAAAAAATCTGGCCGTGGAATATTGTTTTAATCTTTTTGTACAAGTGGCAAAACAAAACCAAACCATTCCTTATTTTTCCTGCGGCTTTGAATCATGCGGATCCGGAGAGTTGCGTGTCCCGAGTCCATCCTTTCTCTCTCGATCTGCTTCGTTCTGTCCATTTCCTCTGCTCTATCTTTACCTCCTCAATATCTTCTAATACTCAGCGAACTATAATATTACCACAAACATTGCAAAAAAGTGATACAAAATTTGGTAAAACGTATTTTAAAGGAGGATTATACTAAATTTTAGAAAAGAACCGCCCTCTTCACTTTTTGAATGAACTCTCTGGTCTTATTGGACGAGCAGGTATTACCAGAATGATTGACAATTAGGAGGACCAATACCACCCGGAAGTAGAAAATCCTCCCCATTCTGACTGAGCCTTAAAACAAGATTCTCCAACGGGACAAAGCCATTTATTGTATCTTTTTAAAACAAGATCATTTTACTTTGTCCCATCGGCAAATCTTGTTTTAAGGCTCAGTCAGAGTGTGCTCAAAGAAGATACATTTTGCACGATTTCAGAGTTTTTGCAGTGCAGGTCCCTGTTGGCCGTTCCAAGGTCAGGGGGGATCGAGGTGAATGGACTTTCCCGAAGTATTTGTGAAAACAGTAGAGAGTAAACATCATGATGGGGTTAGAGGCCACTGCGGGGATAATAAGCTACACAAGTATCTTAATCGGCAGTTTGAGGCCTGTATTCTTTCATTCTTTTTCATGCTCTGTGAAGCGGGGCAGGGCCTGGTTAGTACTGTGATGGGAGACCTCTGTGAACACCAGGTGCCACAACCACAGGCTGTAAAGTGCCAGACTGTTGTTGGGTCCTTAGGCAAGACACTTCACCCACATTGCCCATATGAGTGAGGTGTGTGTGTGTGAATGGTTGGCGGTTGTCAGAGCAACCATTGGCACATACTGGTTGCCTCGCTTCTGTCAATGTGCCCCAAGGCAGAATATGGAGAGAATGAATGAATGTGTAGCGTCTTTGAGTCTTTGAGAGCTTTATAAAAATTATTATTTACGATTTATTTGAATGCCTTCTGTGATTTGAATAAAGTCCTGTTTCATAAAGCACTTAAATACCCTGGCCTTACCTTCCATGCCAGCTCTGTGCCCTGGCTGTGTCCTGTGAGCAGATCTATATTGGTTCTATACCGGTGGAGGGCGGGCTCGGTGCCCTCTGAGCCGCTCTGCTCTCATCACTCGTCGCATTGACACAAATCCGGTCTCTCACGCTGTCGAACTGTTGGTCATGTGCCCTGCGAGTCCCGTGCAGCTGTGGCTCTGCTCTCAACGCTATTTTAATCCACCGGCTGCCGATTCCCACCTCCCCGCGCTCCTCCCACTGCAGAGCGCTGTAGACCGGCCTCACGGAGAGACCAGGGAGACCAGAGAGACCAGAGAGACCAGAGGGACCAGAGAGACCAGAGAGACCAGAGGGACCAGAGAGACCAGGGAGACCAGAGAGACAAGAGAGACCAGAGAGACAAGAGAGACCAGAGAGACAAGAGGGACCAGAGAGACCAGAGAGACCAGAGACACCAGAGAGACCACAGAGACCAGAGAGACAAGAGAGACCAGAGAGACCAGAGGGACCAGAGAGACCAGAGACACCAGAGAGACCACAGAGACCAGAGAGACAAGAGAGACCAGAGAGACCAGAGGGACCAGAGAGACCAGAGACACCAGAGAGACCACAGAGACCAGAGAGACAAGAGAGACCAGAGAGACAAGAGAGACCAGAGAGACAAGAGGGACCAGAGAGACCAGAGAGACCAGAGAGACCAGAGACACCAGAGAGACCAGGGAGACCAGAGATACCAGAGAGACAAGAGAGACAAGAGAGAGCAGAGAGACCAGAGAGACCAGAGAGACCAGAGAGACCCAGACTTTTCACTGGACTGATTAAGATTAATTTTTTATTTCAAAGCCCACTGCCCTCTGGGTGGGAAATTGTTCTCTTTGAGTGACCACAGTGGGATATCACCCTTCTGCAGAGGCCTCAACCCAATTTTAAATGGTTCAATAAAAAAATAAAAATTACTAAACAAACATGAGAGTATCCAGTGACCAATTTATCACACTGCAAAAAGTGATAAAAAACAAGTCAAAAATTGCTTACATTTGGCAAAATGTATCTTAATTTTGTCTTAAAACAAGACTCACCAATGGGACAAAGCAAAATGATCTTGTTTTAAATAGATACAAAAAATGAAGCAATAGTTCTTGAAAAAAGACTAAAAAGCTTTATCCCATCTGAGAATCTTGTTTTAACACAGTCCACTCAATTCACGAAACTATGACTTCATATTTTATCATTTTTTTGCAGTGTACTAATTAAAATGAATGATAACATGTGATGGTAGCACATGAGTTTCAAGCCTTCATTCAGTTTGGACTCTTGATTCATTGACATAAACAACAGATCTGGGGCAGAGGTTGTAAAATCCTTCAGTTTATAAATATATATATATATATATTTATATTCTTTTCAGTATGTTTTGGTGTGACTCTCAGCTCCACATTGCAGCCTGTGTGACTCCGCCCCCTTTCAGTGCAGCGCTCCTTGTACGGTGCTGAGTTCCCATTGGTCGACAGCAGCCTCCATTCACAACACCAGCCCTGGTCTCACAGCACTAGACCAGAGACCAGAGACCAGAGACCAGAGACCAGTGACCAGAGACCAGAGACCAGAGACCAGAGACCAGCGACCAGCGACCAGGGACCAGCGACCAGGGACCAGAGACCAGGGACCAGAGACCAGGGACCAGGGACCAGGGACAAGGAACAAGGAAATCATAAATGAAAAATAAATACCTGTATGTATAGACCAGATCCTGCAGACCTCTGAAGCTAAGCAGGACAGGGCCTGGTTAGTGCTGTGATGGGAAACCTCAGGGAACAGGTGCCTCAGTGGGGCGGCTGTGGCTGTAAAGGGACAAACTGATGTTGTGTCCTTAGGCAAGACACTTCACCCACATTGAGTAGCATGGGTCTGGTGTGTGTGACTGATTGGTGGTGGGAGGGGCTGATGGCACAGACTGGTTGCCTGAAGTAGTTTATCACCGCTGTGTATGAGAGAATGAACAATGACATGTGAAGCATCTTTGAGCGTCCAGAAAACATCATAAAAAAACCAATGCATCGTTCTTATTATTACTATAAAAAATATAAAAATATATACAAATCAATGTATAATTCATTCCCAGAGATCAGATGTGTTTCAAATATAGTTGCACAATGTCATTAGAGTGGGGTTTAGTGTACAAATGGAGAGTGTGGCATAAATGGTTACTGCGCCAATGGTGGTTTTCTTCTCTATTGGATTTAAAAAAAAAAAAAAAAAAACATTGGACAAAATAAAAGATATTGAGTGCGCTGGAAAACGGCTTCAAGTCCTAAGTAGCTCTGAAACAGTTGTTGTTTTGTGCTTTTGAATTTTTATTTTTAATGCGTTTTTCTACCTGAGATGTTGCTGCAGTACAGTGTTCATGGTTTTACACTGGTCCAGACCAGAGCAGAGGGGATTCATGGTTTTACACTGGTCCAGACCAGAGCAGAGGGGATTCATGGTTTTACACTGGTCCAGACCAGAGCAGAGAGGATTCATGGTTTTACACTGGTCCAGACCAGAGCAGAGAGGATTCATGGTTTTACACTGGTCCAGACCAGAGCAGAGAGGATTCATGGTTTTACACTGGTCCAGACCAGAGCAGAGAGGATTCATGGTTTTACACTGGTCCAGACCAGAGCAGAGAGGATTCATGGTTTTACACTGGTCCAGACCAGAGCAGAGAGGATTCATGGTTTTACACTGGTCCAGACCAGAGCAGAGGGGATTCATGGTTTTACACTGGTCCAGACCAGGAGCAGAGAGGATTCATGGTTTTACACTGGTCCAGACCAGAGCAGAGAGGATTCATGGTTTTACACTGGTCCAGACCAGAGCAGAGAGGATTCATGGTTTTACACTGGTCCAGACCAGAGCAGAGAGGATTCATGGTCCGAACCAAGCGGATCATCCACTGGAGGAATGCGAACGTTTTGAAAATGCTAATGAAGCATTTAGCATTGTACTTTGGACTAGAGCAGAGAAAATGCTTCGAACCAAGCGGCTGCTCCACCTTGTGACCCGTCCTGCTCCACCCAGAGGCTGCTCCACCTCTGCTGCTGTGACCAGTCCTGCTCCACCCAGAGGCTACTCCACCTCTGCTGCTGTGACCCGTCCTGCTCCACCCAGAGGCTACTCCACCTCTGCTGCTGTGACCCGTCCTGCTCCACTCAGAGGCTACTCCACCTCTGCTGCTGTGACCCGTCCTGCTCCACCCAGAGGCAACTCCACCTCTGCTGCTGTGACCAGTCCTGCTCCACCCAGAGGCTACGCCACCTCTGCTGCTGTGACCCGTCCTGCTCCACCCAGAGGCTACTCCACCTCTGCTGCTGTGACCCGTCCTGCTCCACCCAGAGGCTACTCCACCTCTGCTGCTGTGACCAGTCCTGCTCCACTCAGAGGCTACTCCACCTCTGCTGCTGTGACCCGTCCTGCTCCACTCAGAGGCTACTCCACCTCTGCTGCTGTGACCCGTCCTGCTCCACCCAGAGGCTACTCCACCTCTGCTGCTGTGACCAGTCCTGCTCCACCCAGAGGCTACTCCACCTCTGCTGCTGTGACCCGTCCTGCTCCACTCAGAGGCTACTCCACCTCTGCTGCTGTGACCCGTCCTGCTCCACCCAGAGGCTACTCCACCTCTGCTGCTGTGACCCGTCCTGCTCCACCCAGAGGCTACTCCACCTCTGCTGCTGTGACCTGAAGGGCTGTTGCTGATTATTACTATTTTTAACTTTTTAGAATGATCAATTTTTTTTATTTTTTTTTTGCTGCTACTGGACACCTGAATTTTTTACAGGGATCAACAAAGTATCTATCTATCTATCTATTTTTTCTATCTATCTTTTCTATCTATCTATCTATCTATCTATCTATCTATCTATCTATCTATCTATCATTGAGCTAGCGTGTTAGTTTTGTTAGCATTATCCAGCTACAGTATATGCAGTCTATCAGTGGGACTAAACTGCATGTCTATTTTCTTTAGTGCAGATTAAAGATGCATCTAATTTGACATCGTGCTGCTCTTATTACTGACATGTGTTTCTGGCTCAAAGGGGGCGGAGTTTGCAGTGTGGGCATTCGACCAATCGCAACGCTCCTCATACCTCAAGCTCCCCTAAATAATACATCATATGTCATGGAGTTATTGTCCAAACTGCCACAAGTTTCAGACCCACGGACAAATCCACTTTGCCATTGCATTAACAGAAGTCATTTCCATTATCTTTTGAACGTATAAAAGAGTATGTAAAATGTATATTTTGAGCTAGCTTCAGCAACCCTCCAGTCATAATTAAAAGCAGTCCTTTACCAAAACTTTCATGAAGAATTGTGCTTTAGCTGCAGGGATGAAGTCCAAATGGCAAAACATACAATAGTCTCTGAAAGATGAAGGAACAACTATAATATTTCATATATTTCACAAAGCATGGCACAACATTGTCCGGCGGTACGTGCTCAGACATGCTCGCCAAAGCTCCATACAGTTCAAGGTCTTACTGCAAATTCACGGCGGGCTTATCACTTGGCCTATTTTAAAACCGCTTACTCCCAGTTTTAACTCCAACCCCACAGCGCCCTATTCACAATGCTGCCCTCAAACCCATAACACTAACTTTATATGGGCCTGTTGTAGCCGCTGCAGCCTCGGGCCCGTGTCCAGCCCGTGTTCTGTAAGTCTATAGTTCAACAGTTCACAGCCCTATGGTACTAATTCCGATGAAATGCACACTGGAAACGTGACTCCCGAGCAGCTGTATTTATGGATGTGTGTGTGTGTGACTGTATGCATGTGTGTGTGTGTGACTGTATGCATGTGTGTGTGTGTGACTGTATGCATGTGTGTGTGTGTTACTGTACATATGGGCCAACATGGAGCAGGATATTTGTGTCCCGAGAGGAGAAATGGCAGGAGCCCAAACAGCAGGTGTATGGAGGCACTCTACATTCAGCACGTGAAAAACACCATAACTCATGTGGTTCAGAGACTGCAGCTCACATCACCAAAAATGGGCGAGATTTCACAGTTCTCTATGGCCCCTAGGATAACTACACTGCTCAGGTGTGGTCTCCTGTCCAATACCTTGGAACAAACAGACTTTACCTTCTCCTCCTGGGTTTTTAAGTCTATCCTGGGCGGCATGGTGGCTGAGTGGATAGCACTCTCGCCTCTCAGCAAGAAGGTCCTAGGTTCAAATCCCGGTCGGACCAGGGCCTTTCTGAGTGGAGTTTGCATGTTCTCCTGTGTCTGCATAGGTTTCCTCCGGGTACTCCGGTTTCCCCTACCACTAAAAACATGTCCAATAGTTCTAGCATGCGCCTCCTGTACTGGCCCCTCCCATCTCTGTGTGGAGTGAGAGACAAATGCCCATAATTAACAATTGTAAACCGCTTTGAGACTGAGATCTGCAGTAAAAAGGCGGTATATAAATAAAAACTTACTTATCTCTTATCTTATCTTATCCAAAGAGTTGTTCTTTTTTGCTGCAGGAGGGTCTAAGGACGGAGGTGATAATCCAGGACACTAGACATTCAACAACATTCAACGAAGCGAGACCCTGAACACACTGGACAATCAAAGCCTCCAACCAGGGTAAACTCTACTTAGAAAGGCCCGGTTTAGACCAGGATTCCAACCCAGTAGATGCAGTGGTTCTACTTCCGCTGAACCAGTGTAACATGTGAGCACTGTGACCAATCAGAGCACAACTGATCAGAGCGGAGTGAGAGCGAGACTAGAGTGAGCTGAGTTTAATGCACCAAAGTGTGGATTTATAGAAAATGTATAGAAAACATGTTCAGGACGACAAATTATTTAAAATCCACACAAAATCTGACCTTTGTGAAAGCTTTAGGTTCCCTGTCAGCAGAGGACACGCTGTTTTAGTTCACATTGAGGTCTATGAGGAAATCTCCTTAAAGCCCAGGAGGATTTAAGCTGCAGTACCGCGGGTGGCCTCTAGTCCATGTGGAGAGAGGTTTAAGCAGCAATACACTATCTATCTGTTAGAGTAGAACCTCGGAGTCTTCCTTCCACCGTCTGACCGTGTCCCTGGTCGAGGTCAGAGCTCTCTGTAAACTCTGCTTCCTCGTCCTGCGGCGCCCGGAGGATTCTGACCGATCGTCCTTTTCCCCGGCCTCAGAGACAAATAAATATTCATTCATCACCGACTCCTCCCGGCCTCCAGGACAGTAACCCTGGCCTCGCTCAACTTAGAAATACACTCTTTTTGTTAAAGTCTATTCAAGGAATGACTCTTTAAGACTTTATTATGCTAGATTGTATGCTTGCTTCTTTACTATGCTAAAGTTAGAGATTTTAGACTTGCTTCTTTATTATGTTAAAGGTGCCATATTTGGCTATCCTTCATTTTTCACAGTCCATCCTATGCACATTATAATTTGGGGGATACACAACACTCAAAAATTATAGCCATTTCGTGCATGGCGCTGACGTCACCTTGTGTGAAACGAGCTGATCTGTGCTCCTCTGGCTGTGAGCCCGCCCGCGCCATGACGTGGCCTCTTGCTAACTTAGAGGTAAACAAAAGCTAACTGTAATGCATTTACGCTTTTACAGATTTCAGACCTGAGAATAAACTTTTTCCAAAAATCGCACTCCGTCACATAGAGCCCTATGTCCTCGATTAGACAGTAATTATTTAGTTCACAGTGACATACGGCGAGTTAGCATCATCGTACTCACTTTTATGTTGGAAATAACACCATGTTTCCAGATCAGCTTTTGAGTGGGTCACGTGAACAAAGTCGATCCCATTCTCCTCAATCTCCGTCTTCGGGCCAAATACTCTCGTCACATATTTACACCAACGACACATTTTCTCCAAGTCACATGAAGCTAGCACAAAAAAGCACAGACGCTTCTTTAAAATTATATTTACTGTCTATGAACCAGACACTCCTTAGACAGCATAGACGCAGCTGATTCGCTGGTTCAGTTTCTCAGCGCTGTCAATCACCACTTGGAGACGGGCTTTTGACGTTTGAATAAGCTCGTTTCTGTGCCTGAAAGATCGCTCTCTAACAAAAGCTTGAGGGAATTAATGAAAAAACTACTCTGGGCCAAATAGCTCTGTAATCATGTTTAAACTTGCCTGGTCGTTCCACACCATAGTACAAATTACATTTCGTACTGAGGTTTGGAGTGGCTCCATTGACTCCGTTAACAGGTGGGAGGTTAACTCCTTTTACAGATTGAAACGATTGGAGTTTACCGTGACGTATGTAATGCGCCTGAGTGAGTCGTTAGCATTTAGCATTAAGCCTAGCTTTAGCCATCTCCTTTGCCGCTAACAGAGCCCGTGGGGAGTAGCGCCACAATCTTTGCCAACGATTACATTTGCTAAACATTCCTCTTGCTCCGGCTTCAATTTCTTGATACTAAAGTATTCCGGTCTGGTTCTATCGCATTCTTCGCCATTGCCAAACTACAACCTGCCCATTCGACACAAACTCTTGACGTCACCCACTGCTAACTACAACACCCGCCTCCCGCGCTCGCTGATTGGTCGAATGGAATTAAACCGATTGTAATCGCAAACACAGGGACCAGACCCAGATGTTACAGGCAGGAAATGATGATTGAGCGGAGTTTACAGATGGATAAGGCCAGGCTATGTTTAAACCAGAGAAAAGTCAAAAAGCGTAATATGAGCCTTTTAAAGTAAGAGATTTTCTTTTATCATCTGTGTGCTCCTTATTCCTACTGTTCTGTAACCCATGATGCAACACTGACATTTCCCGCTGTGGGACAAATAAAGGAGCTCTGACTGTAAATGAGCAAAACCATGTTGTATAGAACTAATATCTGCATAAATCCCTCCTCGTCCATCTCTGCTCTGATCAGACTTCAGCTTCCATTTGGCCTTGTGTCTATTGTAAACGTTTCCTTCTTTCTGGTCGGCCCCGGTTCGTCTCGTCTTTCTGGAGCTGGTAGCAGGAATGTTTTTTTTTGCCTCTCAACACGGATCTCCTGTTCTTAAAATAGCTCAGACCGAGGCCAGTGCAACACAAACATTAAAGTAGCGGCACCACGGCAGAATAAATGCATTATTGATGGAGCTCTCTGTTCTCTGTTCTCCTCCTCTGAATGTGCAGAGCTGAAGAGGACGGCGAGAAAGACAGAGAACCGACGTGTGTGTGTGTGTGTGTGTGTGTGTTTGTTTTGATGTCTTGTGTTTGAATAATCTTGCAAAATTCACCTTGTAATGTAGTTATTGCAATGTCTCACTTGGAATGAAAAAATAAAGCAGGCTAAAGGGCTAACGACGGAAAATGGAATGGAGAAACGTGTTGTATCTTTTTAAAACAAGATAATTTAGCTTTGTCCCATTGGGAAATTTTGTTTAATGTAGCAATATGTAAGATTTTCATTTTCAAGTCATCATTAAAGGGCCCTAATCTGTCCAAAGGCATTAATAAAACATGCTCTTTTCAAATTCTTCTTCAACTGAAAACAGTAGTTCAGCGCTCCACCGTTTCACCAATCAGAAAGTCTGTGATCCGGGTTGCCAGAACTCACTGCGTTGAGCCAATTTCACTGATAAAGTAACATGTGGTGCAGAACTAAGAAAGATTTTGATATGATTCTCAAAACAAGGAAAAAGGTGTTGGTTATAGATTTGTTGTTGACAAAACTCTTGTCTATTCAGCTGTTATGGTCCCAGCTGGATTCGTCTGCATATCTGGCAACCTGAGTCAGGGAGAGTGGGAGAGGCTGCAGTACCACTTTTGGCCAGAATTTTACATACTGCTCCTTTAAGGCACATTTTGTTAAGATACATTTTGATAAACAATGTCCACAAAAAAATAAGACATATGTAAGAAAAGTGTCGTGACATTTTTGTGTGAGGCTGGATTGCTGTAAAACGTGAGCTGATGTTGCAAATCTGTTAGCTGTTAGCATATCAAGATGTCCTGCATCTCAACGAGGGAAGAAGCTGTAACATTGCTTTTTCAGGAGCCAGAAGAGTATAGGGGCCATCACATATAAATCCCAACACCCTTTTCCCAGGACTCCTCTTGATGAGAATACATAAGCTCGAGCCACCTCAACTCTAAATGTGGAGGAGCAGTGGCTCTAGTCCGAGCACCTCCTGCGTGACTGACCTCAGCCCAGCCCCAGTTCAGAGGAAACTCATTTTGACCAGTTGTGTACACGACCGTATCCTTTCAGACAGGAAATGACAGAGGCAAGGCACGAGAGGCTGCGGATCCTGGGAGCATGTGGCCAACAAGGTTTGTCAAAGATTCACTGAAACTGCCAGAACTCCCAAAGCAGTCATTTTGACGGCTCCCATGAAAATCAATGGAAATCTGAAAAATCCCCTCAAAAATAGTTCTTCAATACTTTCTTCAATACTTTTATTAATAAGTAATTCATAGGTTTTTCTTTTTACTTTCATAGATGCTAAAACTGGTTAATATAAATGAAATATGGCAAACCTAAATACAGTGTGTTGCTATGGTAACTAGGACAAGCTGAGAATGCTCTGAATCAGTCTAGGATCGAGATACAGTAGCTGCATAAACATAATTTAACTGAAATAAGCCACATGTAGAAACAGGAAAAGCCACAAAGTTATGGAGACCAAAAATGTATTTAAACGGAGTAATTACAAATCCAAAACGACAAGCATCTGAATCAAACGTATGTTAAATTATTAAGCAGTGAGATCAGGACAGAAACAGTCTGCACATTGTACTTGTTTTATATACAATATTTCTCATTTTTAGTGTTTTATTGGTCCTGTGTTATGTTTTAGCTTTTTTTCTAGATGATGTAAATGTACATTATTAATTTCATTATTGCTTTATTAATATTGTTAGTCAACTTTTAGAATGATGTATTTATTTGTATAAAAGGAACAATGATTATTATTTTTAAAAAAAACTGTTGCTGTATTTTCTCATTCCAAGGCAGAGAATTCTTGTATTTTCATAAACAAGTTAATTTTTCTTTGTCTTTTTGGTAAATCTTGTTTTAAGGCAGTCACAATTTAGATACATTTGACACAAGTTTAGCCATTTTTGACTTCTTTTTTGTCACTTTTTGCAGTGTGTTATCTAAGTGAGAACAATATGAATGTTTCAGAGCTGCTCACTCGTTTGGACCCGTCTTCAGACTCTCTCCAGGTGGAGGAGGCTCAAGTGGTCAGCGGTGTCAGGGGCAGATGGAAACTCTCTGCGGAGCCATGGGGATCCTCCGTCACCGTCAGTCCTCCGTCACATCAGTCCTCCGTCACGTCAGTCCTCCGTCACGTCAGTCCCTTGTCAGTCCTCCGTCACCGTCAGTCCCTCGTCAGTCCTCCGTCACCGTCAGTCCCTTGTCAGTCCTCCGTCAGTCCTCCGTCACCCCCTCGTCAGTCCTCCGTCAGTCCTCCGTCACCGTCAGTCCTCCGTCACAGTCAGTCCCTCGTCAGTCCTCCGTCACCGTCAGTCCCTCGTCAGTCCCTCGTCAGTCCTCCGTCAGTCCTCCGTCACCGTCTGTCCTCCGTCACCGTCAGTCCCTCGTCACCGTCAGTCCCTCGTCACGTCAGTCCTCCGTCACGTCAATCCCTCGTCAGTCCTCCGTCACCGTCAGTCCCTCGTCACGTCAGTCCTCCGTCACCGTCAGTCCCTCGTCACGTCAGTCCCTCGTCACCGTCAGTCCTCCGTCACCGTCAGTCCCTCGTCACCGTCAGTCCTCCGTCACGTCAGTCCTCGTCACGTCAGTCCTCCGTCACCGTCAGTCCCTCGTCACCGTCAGTCCTCCGTCACCGTCAGTCCTCCGTCACCATCAGTCCTCCGTCACCGTCAGTCCTCCGTCACCGTCAGTCCCTCGTCACCGTCAGTCCTCCGTCACCTCCGTCACCGTCATCCTCCGTCACGTCAGTCCTCCGTCACGTCAGTCCTCCGTCACCGTCAGTCCTCCGTCACCGTCAGTCCTCCGTCACGTCACGTCAGTCCTCCGTCAGTCCCTCCGTCACCGTCAGTCCCTCGTCACCGTCAGTCCTCCGTCACCGTCAGTCCTCCGTCACCGTCAGTCCTACGTCACCGTCAGTCCCTCTCGTCACCGTCAGTCCTCCGTCACCGTCAGTCCTCCGTCACCGTCAGTCCTCCGTCACGTCAGTCCTCCGTCACCGTCAGTCCTCCGTCACGTCACGTCGTCCCGTCACCGTCACGTCCTCCGTCACCGTCAGTCCTCCGTCACCGTCAGTCCTCCGTCAGTCCTCCGTCAGTCCTCCGTCACCGTCAGTCCCTCGTCACCGTCAGTCCTCCGTCACCGTCAGTCCCTCGTCACCGTCAGGCCCTCGTCACCGTCAGTCCTCCATCACCGTCAGTCCTCCGTCACCGTCAGTCCTCCGTCACTGTCAGTCCTCCGTCACTGTCAGTCCCTCGTCACTGTCAGTCCCTCGTCAAGTCAGTCCCTCGTCACCGTCAGTCCCTCGTCACGTCAGTCCTCCGTCACCGTCAGTCCTCCGTCACCGTCAGTCCCTCGTCACGTCAGTCCTCCGTCACCGTCAGTCCTCCGTCACGTCAGTCCCTCGTCACGTCAGTCCTCCGTCACCGTCAGTCCCTCGTCACGTCAGTCCTCCGTCACCGTCAGTCCTCCGTCACCGTCAGTCCTCCGTCACCGTCAGTCCTCCGTCACATCAGTCCCTCGTCACGTCAGTCCTCCGTCACTGTCAGTCCTCCGTACCGTCAGTCCCCCGTCACGTCAGTCCTCCGTCACCGTCAGTCCTCTGTCACGTCAGTCCCTCGTCACGTCAGTCCTCCGTCACCGTCAGTCCTCTGTCACGTCAGTCCCTCGTCACGTCAGTCCTCCGTCACCGTCAGTCCTCCGTCACCGTCAGTCCTCCGTCACCGTCAGTCCTCCGTCACGTCAGTCCCTCGTCACGTCAGTCCTCTGTCACTGTCAGTCCTCCGTCACCGTCAGTCCCCCGTCACGTCAGTCCTCCGTCACCGTCAGTCCCTCGTCACGTCAGTCCTCCGTCACCGTCAGTCCTCTGTCACGTCAGTCCTCCGTCACCGTCAGTCCTCCGTCACCGTCAGTCCTCCGTCACCGTCAGTCCTCCTTCACCATCAGTCCCTCGTCACCGTCAGTCCTCCGTCACCGTCAGTCCTCCGTCACCGTCAGTCCTCCTTCACCGTCAGTCCCCCGTCACGTCAGTCCCTCGTCACGTCAGTCCTCCGTCACCGTCAGTCCTCTGTCACGTCAGTCCTCCGTCACCGTCAGTCCTCCGTCACCGTCAGTCCTCCGTCACCGTCAGTCCTCCTTCACCATCAGTCCCTCGTCACCGTCAGTCCTCGTTCACCGTCAGTCCTCCTTCACCGTCAGTCCTCTGTCACGTCAGTCCCTCGTCACGTCAGTCCTCCGTCACCGTCAGTCCTCTGTCACGTCAGTCCTCCGTCACCGTCAGTCCTCCGTCACCGTCAGTCCTCCTTCACCGTCAGTCCCTCGTCACGTCAGTCCTCCGTCACCGTCAGTCCTCCATCAGCGTCAGTCCTCCGTCACGTCAGTCCTCCGTCACCGTCAGTCCTCCGTCACCGTCAGTCCTCCGTCACCGTCAGTCCTCCGTCACCGTCAGTCCTCCGTCACCGTCAGTCCCCCGTCACGTCAGTCCTCCGTCACCGTCAGTCCTCTGTCACGTCAGTCCCTCGTCACGTCAGTCCTCCGTCACCGTCAGTCCTCTGTCACGTCAGTCCTCCGTCACCGTCAGTCCTCCGTCACCGTCAGTCCTCCTTCACCGTCAGTCCCTCGTCACCGTCAGTCCTCCGTCACCGTCAGTCCTCTGTCACGTCAGTCCCTCGTCACGTCAGTCCTCCGTCACCGCCAGCCCTCCGTCACGTCAGTCCTCCGTCACCGTCAGTCCTCCTTCACCGTCAGTCCCTCGTCACCGTCAGTCCTCCGTCACCGTCAGTCCTCCTTCACCGTCAGTCCCTCGTCACCGTCAGTCCCTCGTCACGTCAGTCCCTCGTCACGTCAGTCCCTCGTCACGTCAGTCCCTCGTCACGTCAGTTCTCCGTCACTGTCAGTCCCTCGTCACGTCAGTCCTCCGTCACGTCCTCCGTCACGTCAGTCCCTCGTCACGTCAGTCCTCCGTCACCGTCAGTCCTCCGTCACCGTCAGTCCTCCGTCACGTCAGTCCTCCGTCACCGTCAGTCCTTCGTCACCGTCAGTCCTCTGTCACGTCAGTCCTCTGTCACGTCAGTCCTCCGTCACCGTCAGTCCTCCGTCACCGTCAGTCCCTCGTCACCGTCAGTCCCTCGTCACCGTCAGTCCCTCGTCACCGTCAGTCCCTCGTCACCGTCAGTCCCTCGTCACCGTCAGTCCCTCGTCACCGTCAGTCCTCTGTCACGTCAGTCCTCCGTCACCGTCAGTCCTCCGTCACGTCAGTCCTCCGTCACCGTCAGTCCTCCGTCACCGTCAGTCCTGTCACGTCAGTCCTCTGTCACGTCAGTCCTCCGTCACCGTCAGTCCCTCGTCAGTCCCTCGTCACCGTCAGTCCCTCGTCACCGTCAGTCCCTCGTCACCGTCAGTCCTCCGTCACCGTCAGTCCCTCGTCACCGTCAGTCCCTCCTCACCATCAGTCCATCTTAACGGCGCCACTCAGAGACAGCCCTGACCTCAGACACTCACAAACACGTCTGGAGCCGGATGCACCGGGGCAGCCCCTACAACAATGTTATGGTTCTTAGAATAGACAAAGAACTGTGTCAGCTTTAAATAACATGGAGCCATATGACAGACACATATGACAGACAACACGTGACAGACTACATATGACAGACAACTGCACGTGACAGACTAAATATGATTTTTTTTTTAAACTTCTAGCTTTAGCGTCATAAAGAAGCAAGTATAAAATCTGTCACATTCACAAGTTAAAGTCTTATCTCAAAGAATGTATTATGCAACTTTATCTCAGTTTAAATTATTGGTGGTGAAGCTGAGCCAAAGACATGACATGACACTGCAATGAAGAAATAAGATAGACTTTATTGATCTCACACAGGAGAAATTTAGAGGTGGTGATGGGGAGGAGCTGGGTTGCTGCACGATTAACCCAACTTGCTTTAGAGGTCTGGTGGGTGATCTTGCTCTCACATGCATGTTTGGCCACACATACAGAAGAGAGGTAAAAAAAAAAACAGAGAGACACATATAGAGTACAACAGTATATAGATAGATAGATACTTTATTGATCCAGCAGCGGAAAACTGCTGGACACCTGAAGGTTCGTTGTACAGTCTGACAGCCAACGGCAGCACAGTGATACAGTAGGAGCCTGTTGCATCGTGGACCCTTCTCTGTTAGACTGTTAGAAGGTCTAACAAAAGGACAGTGGTGATGATCCAGGACACTCAACAATCTATAACACTGAGGACATTGGTCAACTCCCCCTAAGGACTAATATCTGTGAGTTCTCTATTCTTTGAGTTTGAACTGTTTGATTCTCTGATAGGGCGATACAAGAATAAATTGTATTGTATTGAATTGAATACTGACATTGGAGAGTTCGAGAACAAGTTTTTCTCCAACTTTTGTGACATACTGTAACTTTGTTGATGTAAAACTATCGCAAAAATCCAGAGAGAATGTGCCGTTTGTTACTATTGCGTCTTCTTACTCTCAGAAATGCACTGCAAATTTTCTGGGACTAGGTAAGATAGTAAATCTTAATTCTAGCCATGCTAGATTATTTATCTAGTTTCAAAAGTTATTTACTTGTTTTAAGGTGCCGACTTTGCGGTCTTGTCTTATTTTAAGCATGAACAATACCTTTTTATCTTGTTGAGTTTATAACTCTTAAAACAGTATTTTTAAGAGTTGAAATAAGATATTATTGACTTCCACATATAAAAGCTAACCCCAAACCTTAAAAAAGACTACATTTAAGATCTTAAAATAAGTGTTAATCTCTAATAGTAATTTGAGAGACTTTAGTCAGGAAACACAATAAAGATGAGGGGTCAATATTTTTTCAATCCTATCCTATACTGAAAACGTATGAGCATTCATTGTCATATTGTCTAGTCTTGGACACTAAAAAAGTATCTTACTGGTAATATAAAAATGTGTGTGAGTTTAAGATGAAAAGACAAGAATCAAAATGCATTGTGCAGGTTTATTTGTCTGCAAATTAACTAAAGACATTGAAGATGTTATACCACTGAAGTCAACAGCTTTGAATTTGGGCTGGATAATATTGTATAAAAGAAACGCAGATGTACACACATGAAAAATACAACCATATTGTAATTAACAATAATAGATCCAAACTATAGTCTAGACTGAATCACAGGCTGATTTTGCTGAACAATAACATCACATAGACTATATTTTAGGTGCACAAACTCGCTCTCTCTAAAACTAACAGAAAAATAAGACGTATAATCTAAGAGGTCACTCACAAATTCTGTCGCCTGGGCCAGAGCAGGAACTGAAACCTTGTACGCTAACAGAGACATACGCCTTGCTCCACCTCGCTTGACCCAGACAATCTTTTTGGAAACAACTACTTCCTCTGGACTCACTGGATTAAAGTTTTTCCTGTAGGTCTTGTTTTGTCCAGTTGCGCTGGTTGAAAATGGATCCACAAAAGTGTCAAATATGGACATTGCTTCATTTTGAAGCTGAGGGCTCCTCTCAGAGTGCCCATCAAAAACTCCCCTCATTCTCTCCCGGAGCACATTGATGAGAACAGCCTGATATTGCTGCACCCCTGAGATGATGTTGTTCACAGTTCTCTGAAAAAAGAAAGTTTTCATTTTAAAAAGCTGAACCAATTAATAAAGAACAAACAAGGTTGATATACCCAAACTTAAATGTATCCCACTTAAAAGTAGCAATATGTAAGATTTTCATGTCAAGTCATCATTAAAAGGGCCCTAATATGTCAAAACACATTAATAAACTGCTCTTTTCCAATACTTTAACAGTAGTAGTTATCAGTTCAGAGATTGTTATTGTTTTCATTTTCATGTCCCGCCCTCCACCGTTTCACCAATCAGAAAGTCTGTGATCCGAGTTGCCAGAACTCACAGCATCGAGCTAATCTCACTGGTTAAGTAACATGTGGCCGCAGAACTAAAGAAGGTGTTGTTAGGATTCTCAATTCGTTAATGACAAAACAAGGAATAATATAAGGATTTATATATCGGGTCCTTTATGAAAAAGGTGTTTGTATAGATTTTTTGTTGACCAAACACTTGTCTATTCAGCTGTTATGGTCCCAGCTAGATTCGTCTGCATATCTGGCAACCTGAGTCAGGGAGAGTGGGAGAGGCTGCAGTACCACTTGTGGCCACATTTTTACATACTGCTCCTTAAAAACCATATCAAATTAAAATCTATAGATAATATATACAAATTATTGTATAATTGTTTGAAATATTGAATTCAAGTAACTATTCAAATGTAATATAGTATTTGATAATGATTATGGTTGAAAAAGTATTTAAAAAATCTCACATTCATCAACTTACTTGTGACAAATGGCACTCTTCACGGACACTGAGACCAAGAGCAGCAGCACATCTGGTGAGATCATTGCTGGTATAGTTGGTAGTGGAAGTTGATGGTCTCGCATCTTCATCCTTCATAGAAAACATGATTAATAGTGGGAAGTAACAGGGAAGTAAGCATTAAAAACAATTGCTAAAAGTACTAATATACATGTAATATTAAGCATAGCCTAGGATATATCCAAATGTTATACTTTAAAACGTGTATGACAAAAAAATGCAGGTACTTTTTAATAGATTTGATACATTTTGTCTTCGTTTATGTCTGTTATACATTCAATCTACGTGTGTTACTTGGTGCTTATGTGGTCATGGTCAAACCATGGGTCAGACACAACACATTCATAAAGTTAGCATTGAGACTTACATTAATGACCACTTCGGCCTCAAACGTTTCATTCCGCGTCGAAACCAGTGGCGTAGCATTAGTCGTAGCTGGAGCGGTGGTTGTTGAAGAATCTGCAAAAATTGATACTCCAAACTTTTCCACTCCCACTCTCCCAGCGAGCGCGATGTTGGAGTCGTTCTCCACGTAGTTGGCGGGACTCCGTGTTTCATAAACACAGGGTGTGTTCGTTTGATGTGGCAAAAAAATTAGTTGAAAACTCTGAAGTCCTGGTCACATCCATTAATTCCGCAATGAACCCAAAACTCTTGACTACGTCCATGTGCTGTATTGATGTGGCTAAGAAGCGTCTTCAGTGACAATGCTGCAAAAATAAGACAGATCATACACCTCCACAACGCCATGCCATAATGCTCGTTAATGCTGCGTCACGATGGCGTCCCGTGTATGGATCTATTATAATAACGGTCCGTGGTACAAGAAAGTTTACAGTCTATTGGTACAAGACATGCTAACAATACAGATCTTGTTAGGTCGTCCCTGAAGGAGAAAAATGTTTTTTTCCAATTTCATATAGACATTTTATGTTTATGGCTTTATCCTTTTTTAACAATAAAAGACTGCGGCACTATGCAAAGAGTTTGAGTTGCCACGTGCGCTGCTACTTTTAGCCTACTAGCTGTTAGCCTATTATAACTTTTTTTCTTTTTCCCCAGAGCCTTTGTGTTGAGGAGAACGAGGGTATCCGTTCAGTGTTGGAGGGTAAGTATTTAAGGATGTTATACTTTTTGTTTTTATAGCAGTGCTCCCACCCAGACTGGGTGTCTGGGAATCATTTAGTGTTATGTGCTTCAGTTGTTCAATTAAAAAATCATTAGTTTTAATTTAAGTTTAGATCAAATTCTACATTTTAGATGTAGTAGTAGTAGTAGTAGTAGTATCGGCTGAGACTGGGGGTCCCGTGGTTAACAGAACCCCTGTCTAGAGAATGTGATGTCTACTGTCTTTGGTTATGAAATGCAGAGTGAAAAAGAAGAAAATGACCTTACTTGATTATGGCATAATTAATTCTTGAAATTACTAATACCTGTTCTTTTTTATACCTGTTCTGTTGCAGCTGCTAATATTGATGAAGCAATACTGACTACAATCAATCGTGAGGATCTTAAAGACTTATTTCCAGGTGCTGCGAATTTTCTACAAAGGAAACAACTATGGGATTTCATCTGCAAAATGGTATTTTAAAGCATTTGCTCAAAATAAAGTAATTGTAGTTTACTATTATGTTTTCATACTCTCACAGAAAGGACATTCTGACCAGAATGCCAATACCACTGCATATGACTTAACACCATGCTAGTCTCAGAGCTCATCCCCCAGTTTGCCTCAGAGCTCATCTCCCAGCTCACCAACTACCAAAAGCATTAAACTGCCAGCTCCGCCTGAATACGTTGTATACACAGATTCAGAGTTGGATGTTGTGCGCTCCCAGTACTTTTCAATGCTCCGTGAAGGAAATGTGAGCGATTTTAAAATATCGAAGGAGCTCTGTTGCAGACTTGTTCGCAACACTATCACTAGCATGATCGCAATGCTACGTGCAAGTCCCTTGGGTAAAGAAACCAAATACCCTTCTAAACTGGAACTAAGACTAATGGCTCAGAAAATGGTGGATTACTTTCCAATGTTGCGTGATCCTGACCCACAAATGCCATACGTGAGTCTCCAGTAACCATTTATTTTCTATAAACA